GGGTGCGAGTGTCGCTTGCCCTCGTCGTCGTCTCGTCGTCCTTTTTCTGCTCGGCTGGCTCCTGCTCCCCTTCCTCAGTGGCTTGCCGCCGCTCTGGGGGCGCTGCTGTGCCATGGGCCGGAGGGGAGATGCCATGAGAAGGGGGCGGCGCAGCGCAGCGGTTGCGCTCCACTCGGTTCAACGATGCGAGCTCACCCTCCCGTCCCAAGTCCCCTCCTCAGAAGTCACCACGAGTACAGTCCGACTGATGTATATGATCGAGGTTGGTTCGGGGAGGGTGCCCCAGGGATCTCCGTGTTTGTTGGATGCTCTTGTGCATCCTGGGGGAGGGTATCTTCGGATGTTTTATTTGTTTTGGCCAGTGGAGGGTATCGTGGTCTTGAGGGATGTTCTCCTGGCCTAGGTCCGACTGTATGGGGATCCGAGCAAGTCCAGGATGCATCAACGATGCCAACTCGCCCTCCCGTCCCAACAGTCCCCTTCTGCAGATGTCACCACGGGTGCTACGGCCTCTCACTGCGGAGGGCGCCCCACCCTGTGGGCTTGCCTCGCGGGCGATGGCCCCGCGATATCCGTGCATCTGCTGCATCTGCTTTGGTTGTGGGTGTAGATGCCTGGGAATCGGCGGCGAGCGCGGGGGGCAAATCAGAAGGGGCGGGCCTTCTCGGCTCGGAAATCCCACGGCCTTCTGATAAGCTGTCTAGACCGTTGCCGAAGACGCAGAAAGCTTCTCAGAAGGCCGGAGGCCTTCTGAGAAGCCCCGCCGCCTTCTCAGAAGGCCTTCTCCTTCTCACTTCCCCCCCTCGCTCGCCGCCGAGATAAATCTTGAGCGAGAGCCCCATTCGGAACATAGCATGCCCACCGTCCGTGTAGCGGTTGCGCAGCCTCGCGGCATATCAATTGCGGGCGTCTGGCGCGATATTCAACTTTCGACAAGTAGCCGCCCTCCATTCGTGTAGCTGCTGCAAGTCTTGCAGACGAGTGATCGCGGTGCTCGACGATTCGATAGCAATGTCTTGAAACCGTCCACCTCCATCCGTCTAGCTGCTCTAAGGTACAGTGTTTTTGGATCACGTACTGTGAGGGGGCATCTCAGGCGAATCGCCCTGCCGGCCCCACTGGCACGGTCCTCTGTGGAGCGATCAGGTTGTGTTGCTCGCTGGGAAGAGGGATGGAGGAGGACGTGGTGACGGGTGGCAGCGGAGGGCCCCTGTGCAGGGCGGCGGAGACGGAGCGGAGGGGGAGATCAGGAAACGGAGGCGGGAAGGAGCAGTGAGAGGGGAGGAGGAGGAGGAGGAGGAGGCGGAGGAGGAGGAGGCGAAGCATGATGACGTGGGAGGCAGGTCAGAGGGGCAGTCGAGCGTGGACTTGGCTCGCCACCTCATGCCCATGAGTGAATGATCTGAGGATGGGGCCGAGGGCGCGGCGCGTCCACAGCGTGCACAGGAGAGAGGGCGGCGCTGGGCTGGCGCGCGCGCAGGGTCCAGGGAGGGAGGACGCAGCTTCGCCGAGACGACGGGGACCAGCGTCAGCATCTACTCCGCGATCGCCCTTATCGGCCCAGCGATCGGGGGCAGCCTTGCAATGTCGGGCAGCGTCGTCAGGCCTCTGCGCCTTCCCTTCCTACCTCCCTCCTCGTCCTTGCTGCCTTCCTCCTTTGTCTCTCCCGCTGCCACGTTCGCAGGCTCTCGCTCGGGTTGGCTGCTCTCTTGCTTTGCAGGACACCCGTGGAATGTATGATGTGACTCAGAGCGTGCAGACTAGTAATACAACCAGTAGCAGTAGTAGTCGTCGTAGTAGAAGTAGTAACAGCAGTAGCTCTAGTAGTTCGTGTTGTAGCCGTAGTAGTCGCCACGGGGCCCGCTTGCGCTTGTAAAAAAGTGTTGTAGCCGTAGTCGTAGTAGTAGTAGTCGTCCTCGTCGCCGTCGTCGCAGTTTCTGTAGTAGTAGTAGCAGCAGCAGCTGCAGTAGTAGTAGTAGTAGTAGTAGTAGTAGTCGTAGTAATAGTAGTAGTAGTAGTAGTAGTAGTAGTAGTAGTAGTAGTAGTAGTAGTGGTAGTTGTAGTAGCAGTAGTAGTTGTAGTAGCGGTAGTAGTAGTAATAGTAGTAGTCGTAGTAGTAGCAGTAGTAGTAGTAGTGGTGGTAGTAGTAGTAGTAGTAGTCGTAGTAGTAGTAGTAGTAGTAGTAGTAGTCGTAGTAGTCGTAGTAATCGTAGTACTCGTAATCGTAGTAATAGAAATGTTATTCGTAGTATTAGTGGTAGTAGTAGTAGTAGTAGTAGTAGTAGTAGCAGTCGTAGTAGTAGTAGTAGTCGTAGTAGTAGTAGTAGTAGTAGTAGTAGTAGTAGTAGTAGTAGTAGTAGTAGTAGTAGTAGTAGTAGTAGTAGTAGTAGTAGAGTAGTAGTAGTAGTAGTAGTGGTAGTAGTAGTAGTAGTAGTAGTAGTAGTAATAGTAGAAGTAGCAGTAGTGGTAGTAGTAGTAGTAGTAGTAGTAGTAGTAGTAG